ATAAAGACTACATTTGACGCTCGGAAGTCTTACCCTTTAACTCATAGATTGCATAACATACATGAATTATTGAAATGTTTCTTCATTTCTAAACAAAGCTTCATTAATCATTGAGTCTAAAGCATTTGTCATTATTTTTTTACTTTGCGTTAATTGAAAAGCGCTTATAGTATACATTGTATATTTAATTTACAATCAAATGAAAAAATAAATCATCGTTCCTGGCATTGAAAATATGACACAATATCCTGTGAACGTCAGCGTAATAACATAGCATGAAAATTGTGTCATTCATCTAATACTTTGTAGTTTTCGTGCAAAAGCATGATATCAGCAGAAAACATAATGCGATTTACTAAAAATATTCAGAAGAATTTTAATCATGTTAAACGTCTTCTAATATTCCCAAGATAGTGCAAGTATTGGAGAAATGAGTTAAATTTTAGAATTTGAAGAATATAATTGGATCTTTCAATGACATATTTCTTTTAAACCGAACATTTATTTGCAATTTCAATAAATCTGTAGTAGACGTTAAGGACTCACGTTGCAAAAACAGTGTTGTGATTTCGATTTAACACAAGGAATACAGAAACAAAGCAATAGTATTGTGTTTTGAAGATGTTTAAGATAAATATGAATATCAATTGCCAGAATATTTGAGCTGGTAAATGTTTAAGATGCAATGATAAGCGATAGGCATGAGGCGTTTCTTTTTAATTTTAAACCGTCAGTTTATTAAAAGATATATTTCACACAGATACGATTTTTGAAAAAAAAAAACAAGAAAAACTGATCAGTGCTCTGTACTGTCTGTAAAGTAAACATTTTTGAGACCACAAAGGGAAGACAATTATGACTATATATTATAATCTGTAAATACTATAGATGTTTTTTTTTCTTTTGTAATGTTTTAAATTTGTTAAACAAATAGTAAAGCATCATCTTATAGACAAACAACAGCGTCTTCAGCAGAAAAGCAACACATGATGATGATGATAATAATAATAATAATAATAATAGAAATAATAATAATAATAATGATAAAGAATCAGACAAGAAACACAAACTCATTTTTCCGGCGTATAAAAAAATGACATCAAAGAAATATATTCTGAAGGAAATAAGTACAGAATTTACATTTCAATCTTGCATAGCCATTTTGTTGAATCTTAAAAGCAATTTCAGATAAATCCTTATTTATGACAATGAAACGCCAACGAAAATGTGAAGTAATGCTATTCTCTCGTTAATATTAAGCACACACAATTTGGACGAAATGAAAAGGACTTAGAATCACATATAAACCTATCCTTGTTGATTCGTATGACAAAGCCAATAAACAAAGAACCAGAGTGAGAATAATTATTAGTTTTCTTCCTGGAGAAATGTTAATTTCAGACAGTATTATGGTAAATTTGTAATAATTCTTACTTATGTTCCAGACACGTGTGTTGTGGTCTTTTGTACCTTCATGAAGTATTCAAGACATTTCTCATTAAAAAGTTTGGCTTGGGGTCCTCCTTGGCTCCTTGCCACTGGTTCTTGTTGCTGGGTCTTGTTACTTATGGGGATGGCGTTCATTGAACGCCGCCTTTCCTTGTTGATTTTGTTTATCATATTTTCTTTTAAATTTTGTTGTCAAAACGCAAGGACAAATCAAGCGGAATAAAATATGTAAAACAATTAAAATTTGTACTATCTCATTTTGATTAACCCCTGCTGGTCGCTTTGCCATTGTTGCCGTTGAGTTATGTGATTTTTGGTGATACTTTTTTTATGTTTGCTCTTATCTTATATTTAATTTATATTGAATATTTACCTTTATTTGATTTTTACTTTAGTCAGCTGTGATGAAATATAAACAATTATGACAATGCATTATTATTTTGTTTAAAAATGTTAAAATGCCTCTCTGCACTCATCCTGATTACCATTGATGTCAATTTATATAACGTCTTCTATATAACACCGATTATACATTTATCAAATAAATGTATCACATAAGACGCATTGTGTTCTTGGCCACCGTTAAAACCTAGACAGTCTGTAAACATACTTTTATGAGCTTTCCTTACAGTTTGTTCCTTAAATGACTTCATATTCTAGAAGTGGTCTGGAAAGGTTAAGTGCACTTCAGTGTCACAAGTATATTATTGCACTCTCTTTTAGGTTCAATGATATAATTTCATTCTCAGAATACTCTTTACTATATACAGTATTCAATTTTCCATGAGTTTGTTGAAGATATTAAATATGAAGTCAACATTGTGGTAGACAGAGATAAGCGTTAATATCGTACATGCATGCCAGACAGATTATTAAACGAAGTATGCTATAAATTTTAGATATTTGTAAGAATTGCTTTAACTATAATTTATCATAGTGGATTACAACGAATCCTAATAAATTGAAAATAGCAAATAAAATATCATTTTATGCTCCACAAAAAGTATTCAATTTAATGAGTTATACCTCAATCAAATGAAACAAAAATGATTTAAAAAAAACTTTTGTTACTTGCATGAACAGTTGCCTAATACCGATATTAACTTCTGAACAATTACAGATGGTATTGCGTTAGTAGTGTTAACCTTATGACTAATATATACGTCAACTAATCATCTTTCTTTACTAATATTTGAAATCGGTTAGAGGTATCCATTCAGATTTTGGAATAAATTATTTGACATTCAATAACGTCATAATTATCAAATGCAATATATAACTGTAAAGGGTCAGATCAATATATCCCTTTGTAATTTAAATTATTCCAAGTCTTTCCAAGCCAGTTCTCCGAATGACATCGTTTGTCCCTAAATGAACGCTACAAATTGCTTCTCAATGATATTATCTCTTGAGTGATATATCGTCACCATAGTGCAGAAACGGGTTAAGTCATTCTTGTTCAATCTTGAACTTGTGTTCAATCTGAGTTTATCACAAAAACCGCGGCGCAGGAGTGTAATAAAGCCATTAAATAAAAACGATATTACACTAGACGATATTACACTAGTGTAATAACACTTTGACGTCACGTCATTTGCGCTATAAACATAGCGTTAAAGCGCGCTAATGTTAGCGTTACACTACAGGCGCGTCAAAGAAAAATGACTCTTGATAACAGTTTACCGTTCTTATTTTATATATGTGATAAATAGAATAATATATTCGTGTAGATTCAATACTAAATTTATTAAACTCGTTGAATAAAACAATATTATTATATGATTTTATTCAACTCGTTCAATAAATTTAGTATTTAACCTACACTCATGCAATATCCTCTATTTATGTTCAATATTTGTTTAACCCAGATACTACTTGTCATGATGTGTTGTTTATTGAAATGCAGTTAATATTTGAAAACATCAACAAATAAATTAAACCTTTGTCATGTCTATGGAAAATTTTACAGATTTTAAAGAACATCTTTTAATGATTTAATATATCAATTATATCCTGATGACAAAATGATTATTTCAGCCATAAAAATGCCATCTAATATCGTTATACTACAATTATTTTTATTGCAATTTCTTAAAAAAATCAACAAATAATCTTCATATAACAATTAATCTTTGTATTACTTACCAGGAATAATAATTATGTAAATTCAAGGGAAGCAAGTACAGAGTTTAGGGGCTCTTAAGTTATATATAATTACTGACTGCAGGAACCGGCAGAAATGATTTATCTGTACTCTTAGAATTTATCTGATGCATTTACGATCATTAAAGATAAAAACAATACATCAGTCCAGACATTCGGATATATTTTTTTTATAATTGAATACTGCAATTTTACCTCCCTTTGTTTTAGATTCTTCATTTGTACAAGAAATGGTTATGCAACTAAAGAAATTAACTGTAATAGTCCTAGGGTGGTGGCCCGGTGTAAATGTGGTCAATTTTACTACACATTAATTTAAATGAAATACTTTTCGATAATGTTAGCAGAGAAACAATATAACAAAAACATTTTTATCTATTTTTTTAAATGTTTTATATATGGATACCAGTTTTATATTACATGAATAACAAGATAAACATGAATCCAGTTTTTTCCTATAGATACAAGATTTATTTTCTTCGAATGGTATGAAAATAAATATTTCATGAGTGGCGGTAGCCACGTGTGAGAGATGATACTTTTCATACCACAAGATGAAAATAAATCCTGTATATTTATAGAAAAAAAAACTAGAATTTTCTGTTAAGTATATATACATTTTTCTCTTTTTGACATTTCACCTCAAATGTTGTGTATTGGCTGTGATAACAAGATACAAATGAAAATACGGAAAATATTTTCCCTGCAATTTTTTTTACAGAGAAAAAAATGAAAAATACTCATTTTATTTAATCAATATTTTGTCAATATCTCATTGATAAGTATATAATAGATAGTATTAATTCACATATAAATTATGTACAGAGAATTTTTTGTCTCGTTTCGATGTCTCGTCAATACAACAAATCTTTTGTATGGCATTAATATATAAATGGTTAAGGAGAGGAGTATAGAGAAAAAAGATAAATAACAAAGAAATATGAATAAACAATGATTAGGAAAATACCTATGAATTGTCCATTGCAAATATTATACAAATATGGACTTTTTAGCTGGTGAAAAATGATGTGATATGTACTAAAAGAAATATTGACCGAGACGAAAGTCGATGTCAATGATTTTTTAGTACATATCACATCATATTTACCATCTAGAAAGTACAAATCTGTTTTATTATATAATTCATCAATCGTTTCAACATGGGATATGAAATCTTCCATAAATCGGTGTTTTTTTCAGCTTGTCAATTTATTCCATAATTTGGCCCTGTATTTAAATGCGCATTGGCACGCTTAATTCTTAATAATTCTTTAAAAAATGTAAAGACGGTAAAATAGACTAAGTTGATATTTTTTGCAAGTTGCCCAACGTTTGTTGTGTTTTTTTTTGTTTTGTTTTTTTGTTGTTTTTTTCTGTTTTTTTTTCAGACTAATACAAACAAACTTGGCGTGACGTCACGTCATAGCACGCATCTTTTGTGGGCTTTCCATAAAATCTATTTTTAGATTTTTAGAAGAAGAAAAAACTGTTGTGAATATACTTTTATGTTGACCTGTTATTTTTTACAAAAAAACTTGCTTGTAAGCCAATTAGGGAAAGGCATTCAAAGATATTTATAGGACGTATAAAAGTAATATACACCTTTATCGTTGTATTTTGTGGAAGGTAAACTTTTTATCATCGTTTTTTACTTTAACCAAACAAATGCGAGGAAAGACATTTTAACATAAATTAGTGAAATGTTTCTTTTGTCGGATCCGTTACATAAATTCGTGGAGCAGAAGCAGGTTTCTGTGCCACCTATCTTGATAATACACTTGTCGTCAAATGGGAAACCAAAACTTTCCGTACAATGTCTCTGTATATCTGTTCAAAAAAGAATAAAATTTATTTAATATCTTATTAAGTTTAACCCTTACAATGCATAAAACGGAGGCGATAATTCTTTTGTTATCAGTATAATAGGCATATCACGCAGCCATCCGTGCAGTCTGACAAGGGTCTATTTATAGCTCAATTATTGGAAAGTTTAAAAGCTTAAAAACATCAAATATGGAAATTTTACATAGACGAACTCGGGCACTACAAAGAGGATGATAGGGAAAGATACAAAATTTGATAGACTGAGAAATAAATTGAAAATCGCATTTTTGTGCTATTATTAATAGCCCGATTGAATTGAAATGCATTGGAACGCCTTGCAAATTTCTGTCATGCTGCACAAGTGGAAAAAAATATTATGTTAAAAAAACGGAGTAAGGGAATAATATGAAATTGTGCACACAAGAAATTGGTGCATACGTACATAAAATGGTACACTTATCACGAAACCTATTTATAACGAATAACTTCAGTGGAGACCCTTTAATCTTGTGATCGACTGCTCCGAAGTAAAAGCAGAACAAAAAAGAGTACATTTCATAAATTCAACATGTTATGAGTTACAAATATTTATTTCCTTGCCGTACCGAATTTCAATACCTTTGACAATACTAAAGCTATGGCTACTCTGATTCTCAGGGTGTTTTTACCATGATAAGTAGTGAAAGGGGAAGTAACTCCAGTCTAGTTCGTGCGTTGAAAATGAGTGTGACTAAAAAAAGGATTAGAGCACAACACTTAATACCGTATTTCGGTACATACCGGACAAGACGCTTGAATGAATAAATGCTAAAATATCGCCTTTTCACCTTACGGAATGAACTTTAAAAGGTCTAATTCATCTTTTCACATCGATTTATGTTTGATAATGAATGACAAATGTTATACCAGCGAAAAAACGATATGTGTCTATTTTGATCTCAAAATATTAGGTGTTATAGACTGGTCATATACAAGGTGTGTCCGGTAGGACATATAGGTCTTGGACAAAGGTCTTTCGTTTTAGAAACGAATCAATATGTTGATATGGCTATTCCTTTTTGGAAAAGTGTCTTTTAATGTAAGAAACGGGTGTGTCTTGTTTCAAACCGATCTTAAGGCTACTACTGAAAACGGGGTTTAACCATTAAAACCGTACGCTGCCAGTTACAGTTCATCAATATTAAAAATTAATAATGTAGTATGATGACGTCATTTGTGTCATACTTACGATCGTTTTTAATTTCCTTCAAACAACTTCCGTTACAGGATATTTGTACAGCTTGGCTTTCGTCAAACGGATCCCTACACCCATCTCCAACGCAGGTGTAACACATAACGGCCAGAACATATGTAACTGTATTACAAAAAACCGTTTTATTACTAACGATATATAGAATTAATACCATGCGTTGTATTTGATTACCAAAAGCTATGTGAAACATATTGCTGTATAAACTATTGTTTGTACTAAGGACATTAAAATAAAAATCAAGGACAATTATGCGTTTTAAACTTAAAACACTAATTAATATCTAAGTTTCAAATTATAGATAAAGCTCTAGTCGATTTATATGTATAAACACAATTAAGGTCCTCAATTGTCGCGTAAATAAAAGGTCATTGCCTTTAACCACTTGTCCCTAATCGCTATGGATTCGAGCTCCATCAGAATCTAAGTGCCATTCGTGCGACCTAGCTATCCAGCCCGGCGGTTCTACATAGTAAGTTATCTGCTCGTGTAAATTGTGCATCAAAGGACACCCGATGTATGACTCAACGAGTAAAAGCTGACATGGAGAGTCACAAATCTACAATTTTTTAGATAATATATATATATTGGGTGGAGAGCCCGTGCATTTTTCCTTTGGCACGGCGGAATTAGGGTTGATATATCATCAATTTTGTTAAAAAATACTGGATGGATTTTTCACAAATTAAATGAATTTTTGTTCGTGCAAAATCGGGAAGTATATAAGTTCTCTTTAGTTCTTATCCCCTTTCAGCTATATGTAATAATTGAACACATATAAATGTAAAAAAAATGATGAAATATTAAAATAAATATGCACATGTTTAAACTGAATTAAATGAATAAATCGCATTTATAAACCCTACGAACTAAGTATTTCGCGGCTAATAACAACTTTGTGTATTACCTGAAGTTTTCATCATTTTTTCCCCAAAATGATTGAGTCAAACAGTCCATTCTTACGGAACCTCGGTGGTTCTACTCAGGTGCCGGTTCGTGTCCGAAATAATGCACGGAAGAGAACAGGTAAAGCTGAAACGTCGCCATATGACCAAAAACAAACACAATTTGTACAAATACATCGTATATGCATGCTCGGTAAAATATTATTGAAATAGAAATTCTATAATTTTTTTCTTACCGGTTGCAGCTATAACCAACAGCCTGAAATACCAAAAAGATACGTGATGCATTTTTAGTATTGTGAACCCCGTGAAAGTTTAGTTACAATTGAGTATGAAAACAATGTTTTCCTGTTTAAAGTACTTGGATTGGTCCACTTATCCACCCTCTTCTTTTAAGCGGATTGGTCTACGATGGGCACATTTTTCATATATTTTTCAAATATTGATAAAACAATAGATATACGAGTATATCATTGGATATTGTTATAAAAAGTTGTTATAACAAAAACAAACGTTGATATATTATTAAGTGACTAAAAATGAACATTTATATAATTATGATGAATAATATTGTTTTGTTCTTTTGCGAAATCGAGGGAAGTTTGTGATAAAGAAAATGTCGAGGCCGGAATACTATATTACTCGTTATAATCAAGTGACTAACGAGTTTCTTTTATCTTAATTTCATAAAAAATTGTAAATGTTACTATGTCCAGTGCTTTTCCCTCTCTTGTGCCTTTTAACGTTTGTGTAAAATGTAAACGATAGAAAAAATTAACCAAAATCTGCTAATTAATCTATGTTTTTTGCTACTGGGAATGTGTAATACCCCGTCCCATTCCAGCCTCTGTAAAACCTATACTGATTTATAATAGGTGTTAGTGTTTGAAATTATTTTTTGTCCAATGAGATGGCAGTATTTTTAAAAATCCTCAACTGTTATATTTCAGTTGCGTTTTTTTCCTATGTGAATCAATGAAAAAATAGCACTGATATATATAATCTGCTGCTGCTACTGATTATGATGATGCTGATGAAGAAGAAGATGATGATGATGATGATCAAGATGTTGATGATGATTGAAGATGATGAAGAAGAAGAAGAAGAAGAAGATGATGATGATGATGATGATGATGATGATGATGAAAATACTGATGAAAGTGACGATAATTATGAATTTTGATGATAATGATGATTAAGGTGATGAATAGTTTTTAATTAATAAATATTTGATGATAATTATAAATATAGTTACGATGATGATGGTGATGATAATGATGATGGTGATATAAACGACTTTGATGCTGATGGATGTCAGGATAATGATAATTTTGATCAGGGAATTGATGATGATGAGTATGATGGAAGAGGTGATAATTTTGATGATGATTATTGAGGTAATAATGATTTGATGATGATGACGACGACGACGATGATGAAGATGATGATGATGATTGTAATGATGATGATTCATGCGCCGATTATGTTGATTTCAATTATACTGATGCAGATGACTTTTCTTTAACGGTGAGGGTGATGATAATTTTTTAATGATAATTATGGGGGTGATTATGTTCTGATGATGAAGGACCTGGTGATGTTTTAAATAATGATGAACGTGATGGTGTTTTTTGTGATGATGATGTTGATCACAATGTTGATGAAAGTGATTATTGTAATGACTTCGATGATGAGCTCTATGCGGTGTTAACAACTCTCCCTTGGCTGATAAGAACAGAAAAAGTAGATATAGGTAATTTAAAACACAGAAATGACAAAAAAATAGGCCTAACTCTTTTAAAATATCTTTATTTAACGTGTTCATGTACGGCATATATACATAGTATTTTTTTAACAATAACATACAATTTTATGATAAAATATCCTGTTTATTTAATATTCTCTTCAATTGTTTCTATTGTTCCAGTACATGTATATGTATTTTGTTCTTACTATAAACTTACCGTGTACTTGAAATTAGAATAAGAATGCGGTTTCAACATAAGATGATCCGAGGAGACACAAGTATATACAAGTTGTTGAATATAAATAATATTATTTATCATAAGCATTTGTTTTCCTGCAGCATCTGATTTTATATGACTGTTTAAAAAATGTCACAATTTAATGACCTTGTAACATGGTTGACTGTTGTTCTGTTGATTCAGGAAAATAAAAAAATATAATTGAGCCGCGTCACGACAAAACCAACATAATGGGTTTGCGACCAGCATGGATTCAGACCAGCTTGCGCATCCGCGCAGTCTGATCAGGATCCATTCTGTTTGCTATCAGTTTCTTTACTTGTTATAGGGTCTGAAAGCGAACAGCATGTATCCTGATCAGACGGCGCGGAAGCGCAGGCTGGTCTGGATCCATGCTGGTCGCAAACACATAATGTTGGTTTTGTCGTCACGCGGCTCATATATATCAAAGCAGGTAATAGATCTAAGTTTGTATCATTTATCATATATCAGATAGAAAATCGTACCTTGACTTTCTTTTGAGGTCATATCATATTATAAGAGCATTATTGCTTAAAGCGGCCTTCAGCTTTTATTTTCTGTTGGAAAAAAAAACAGTTTTGTATTGTTTCAAAATAAGTAGTTCAGTAATTTTGTCTTGGAAAAGCGCATCGTATCACCGAAAGCCTGCTTCGAGAGCTTTTATTACGCGACAGTGATGTTCATTTCTAAAAATAGAAGAGATCGGGAAACGAATCGTCCGCTTTACTAACTTATATAGAGTGTGTGAACGGTAGATTACAGGTTTCGAAGGGTTTCATTGTTGTTTATGCGTTTTAATGTCGGCAGATTTCATATTTCACCTTAATTCTTTTGATTTGACAATTATATGGAACGATTTACCTAATTGTTGAACCTTTTGAAAAAAGAAACATAACATCTACACTAAGACCTGGAAATACCATTTTCACAGCTTGGAAAGGGGTTTCACTGTGACCTTGCCCATCTTCTCTTGGAATGTTCTTTTACATTCCTTTTCTGCCGGGTATATGTTGAATACCAAATATAAAAAAAAATTCATATATATATACTTTCCTAAGATTATTGAATTTGTTTTAATATTTTCTTCACGCGACTTCAGTTGACTAATAATAATTACTTTTCGTAAATTGTTTTAATATTTTCTTCACGCGGTTTCAGTTGACTAATAATTACTTCTTTTCATAAATTGTTTAAATATTTTCTCCACGCGGTTTCAAATGACTAATGATAATTACTTTTCGTTAATTGTTTTAATTTTTCACGCGGTATCAAGTATGATTATGGTTTCTATTATTTCAAGTTTAATAAAGGATTTGCCATTTAAAACCTGATATGTATGCTTGCTAATTTGTGCCATTCCTGTTTTCGCCCGCGAGCCCGCCAAGCGAAAATTCGATAATTAACAATTTAAAATGGGGGGGGGGACCAAAACACGCTTATTAGTGAGCTTTTATCAATTAAACTTCGCCCCGCCCCCGCTAATTAGCGTGTTTTCGTCCCGCGACACCGCCGTTTTATTTCTTAAATCTCGCTCTGCACCCCAGCGGGGCGAACTTTAGAAATAGCTATCTTAATATTTTTCAAGGTTATCCATATATAATTTAATCTAAAAATGATATTGTTGATCTTCGTACACTTTCATACGGTTCATTGCAATAAACTATGTGAAATATATCTTTGTTTTGAATTCCAAACTGAGAGTCAAATGGTGATGAGTTTAATTCTCTGCTCTGAACATGAAGATGAACATTTACACTGTTGTTGTTTGTTTAAAGAAGAAAGAAGAAAATATGAAATCCACGTCATGCTTTATTTAAAGTATTTTTTCAGCTCTCAACATAAATATTATGTAAATAGATCAAATTAGTTTTTTTTTTAAAGTTTCATAAGAATACGCTAGCCACAAAAATTATAAAAACCTTAGCAAAACCTACTCGCTAAGAAAATATGTAACTAATTATTGATATATAATTTTACTATTCAAAATGCGCCAGTATCACCCGTATCAAATTCATTAAAAACGTAGAGAAAATAATAATAATAATTATTGCTTAAAAAAATAGTGTGACCTGACTTCTGCAACAATTTTTACAGGAATCTGGAACAAAGATAGCTATATATGCAACCCAAATATACAAGCTTTGCCAAAATCGTAAAAAAACTGCTAAATCTACACAACTGATTCTAATATATCTCTGTAAGTAAGTACATTGATTACCAAGAATACAGTCACATTTGACTTATACATTGTATATAATATAAACACCAGTCTTCAATAAAAGAATGAAACTTTAATGATTCCTATTATTTAGGGTTTGAGAACTTAGTCAAAAATGGGTAAAAACCTTATAAAGATATACTATATAACTATATATTACTGTATTCATTTATTTCTTAAGAATGTTTTTCATTTTTGTTTTGGTATTTCATAATGCATCACCAAGGTAACAGACTAACAGTATATTTCTGGTGTGTATCTCTTTCTTGCGTAATTCTATAGGTTAACAGCAGCACCAATATACGAGGGTTGTTCGGTTTGAAAGAGTAATGCATTCTTCTGAACGGATTAAAAAAAACCCGGCTCATATCTCGTATAATAGATATTTTTGTCTGATCAATCGATTTATACTCCTTTATAAAGAACGAAACTAAATTTCCCGAATTTATGTTAAATAACCGACAACGACACACTTTAGTTTTATTTATACTTAATTGTTGCAACATTTTAAGTCACAGGAAAATACGACAATTCATTAATGAAACACTTGTTTTAACAAAAGCTAGGACAATGCCATCAAGAAAGTGGGTACAAGTTTTAATACAATTATAGTATTTATCACAAACATTTCCGGACAAAAACATTTACTGCAAACACATTTACAAAGTCATTTCCTGCGAAGGTATTTACGTTATTTATTGAATGTGTCATTCACTTTTCAATACACAGACAATACATACATAGTGTTACTATTAAACACCAATCGCTGATGAGTATCTGTACAAGTCATAACATTCACAAATCAAGCTTAGACTTAGAAAGCGATTTCAGTGTTGTCAAGGAAATTATATAAACAGATAATTCAACAGCTTATAGTATATATTGCGAAAGATCGATCAAAACAAGTAAGCTATTTTAAAAAACACATTCAATTTGAAACTATAGAAAAAAGAATAAACAAACTAAACGAACCAATTAAATTAATTATTATACATTTATAATAATAAGTGTTGAAGTTAGCAGAATAATGCAATATTTAACAAAAATTGAATTGAAATACACATCCCCTTTCCGGTGTTGTTCAAAAAT